GGCCTCCACAACTGCCAGCATTTTCAACTTGCGTTTGCCCTCCTCTTGCTTGGCTTCCCCCTCCTGCTTGGTTTTCTTACTGTCCATAGCACTTCTCCTCTCTTGCCTCATCTTCCTTTTCTTCTCAGCTAGTCGGACTGCATCGGCATCCGCCGGCTCGACCCCAACTTCGCGGTGCATTTCCCCGCGCCCTGGATCCGCTTCCCAATGCCCATGACCCGACGCGAGCAGCTGCGTTCGTTTGGAACCCCGATGCACATCTGCATACCCTCCCTTGCCGTTCGTTTCCTCTTCTTGCCCTTCGTCCTCATACTCAACCCCTAGACGACCCTCCAACTCGCCCGGCCCACCCCTCTCGCTGATTGTGTGCTCACTCTCTACTTCCTCTTCTTCGCCACCCTCCTCATATTCTTCGCGTTCTTCATCGCGCTCCCATTCTTCTGCGCTCTTCTCCTCGTCGTCATCTCCAAAATATTGTGGCCCAGCAGGAATGGCCAACTCATAGCACGACGGGCAGACCAAGGAAACGGGTTCCTTGGTTGATGTTGGTCTACGCTTCACAGGGGCTGACGGTACGATTTGGCCGCAACACGGACCTTTCTCCCCGATCTGCCCAGATTTCGAAACTCGTGTTGCAGCAACCGTAGTTCGAAGTGATGGTGGAGGGCGGGCACCTATAATGATCGGTTTCGACGACGGAGCCGCCTCCAAGGACGACAAAAGCATGCTTTTCGGTTCAGATATGCGGTCGGAAGAATGCACCACCGGCTCATGCCCTGCGACCACATATCTGTCAAAGAATGCGAAAATCGATCGAAGGTCCGGCAACGTCAATTTCTCCGTCTCGGGCGGATTGAAAATGTCATAAAGCCTCTTGCCGTACCCAGCATGTTTGGCCCAACGAAGAGCAACGCGTTTGACACCCGCCACCCGCTCACCTCTAGCGTTAAGGACCATCGTCAACTCCAACATGGCCGACGACGATTTTTCCCCACTCCACTTAACCACACCGCCAATCGGAACAATGTTATCTTTTATCACCACGTACAAAACCAGCCCACCCGAGCGTTCCCCGATTCCACCCACCCAATCCAACATCCAACACTTGTCTTGGTGGTTGACGACAGGCACCTCGTCTCCCACACCTGCAACGGACATGTCACCAGACCTTTTACGCCTGGGCACAACGTCCATCGCAGATTTTCCCTGCCGACCAGTAGCCTCCTCTTCTCGATCCGCAGCCCCACCACTCATCAACACAGCCGAATCCGGTCCCGAACTTCGAATATGGGCGGAAGAAGTGCCCGTAGAAGGCGCACCCCGCAGCACAGGGGTTCGGTGACCCTTAGACCCTGGTGTGCCGCCAACCCCCACGCCAGCCGTCGGTGTCCCCTTCGTTTTTTTCAGAGGCTGCTCCATGCTCCCAGAACCAGCACTAGTACGTCGTTTGCTTGGCTTCCCCTCGCGATCCATGCCGAGCAGCTAGTCGCAACTGAAGAAAACGCACAAGCGAGAAAGCAATCATTGCTTTGCCAACGTGCAAACACCACAGCACTTGAGAACAAGAGTAGACAGGAACACAGAGCAACTGAAGCGGGCCGCAGCCCGCCAGCTCGTCGTCGTTCCACTGTCGTGTCGAACTCGACGGCCGTGCTACGACTTCCTCCAGTACCGTCGAATTCAACACGAGAGCGACATTGTGGTGTCGTCGTGTCACTGTCGTGTCGAACCCCACAGCACTGTGCGGGCTGACCAACCGTCGTGTTGGACACGAGAGCTACACTGTTGTCTGCTGTGCGACAGTCGACCAAGCGGCCCTTCATGCACCGTCTGGTCGCCAAATAACAGTGTCCATGTCGTGTTCGACACGATGGTCGCCAAACGGTGCC